AGAAAATAATGATTTTATCATATTAATTAAATGAAGCATTACTGTTATGGAAAAGGACAAAAACAAAGTAGGCATCTTTCTTATTTCAGGGTTAGTTTTCATGTGTGTGTGTGTATATATATTATTTTTTTTTACATTTGGGGAGGTAAAAAACTATCTATCCTTGCCCCAAATTGTATACTTTTTTGAAATTTCCCAAACTCATCTAAATTCATAAATAAGTACGACTCCAAAAACAGACTGGACCTCATGTTTTTTATTATCAAGTTTGCAATTTTAGTATTGAGAGAAAAGAAAACCAATACCTTATAGAATTTGCCTATTGAAGAATTCAGAAGAGTAAATTAATCGTATTGATACTGAGTATTAGTCAAATACTTTTATACATATAGGTTAGTTCTGGTGAATAGAAGAATATACAAACATCAAATGCACTTCTCGTTATTTAACATTAAATGTACCTTGAAAGTGTTAGAAAAATTTCTACAAGTTTATCTACTGGTATCATAACTACAGTATTTCTGTTGCACATTTTACACTTGAAACTCAGCATTTACAATTGTGACACTTGATGCTGGTCATTATCAAACAGAAATTTAAACTCTTTTGTATTTTTATTCTGGTCAAAATATAAACCAAATCTGCTTAATATATTCCAAATTTAATGTTTTTGTGATCAGTCTGAATTAGAAAGATACCATAACTGCCCAAGAAAATTTTGCAATACTCTGTCATTAAAAATACATGTTTAAATGACAGCTCCTATGTTTTATAAAGAAATACAAACGTATACACTTTTGGACAAAAAAAAACTGTAAAGATATTTATGTTTTACAAACATTTTTCATCATGGGAGTTGTATCTTCATTTATAGATCTGACATCCTGGATAATGCAAAAGCCTTTGAAGAAACAAAGAAAAAACAACATACAACAAGAATCAGGACAAAAAAAAAAAGAGTTTTCTATAAATGTTTTAAAACCTAAATTTATTCTGTGTATTTCTTTAGTTTTCAAAGAAACCTAACAAGATCCATAAGAATTTGATTGTTACTGTTGATAACTCTTAACAATGCATCTTCTTTTCAATTGCATATTATTGGATACGAATGTGGGAGCAGAAACTATTGTGCTTTATATATTTAGATGTTTATATATGGCATAATACTAACCACCCTTGTTCTGACAAATACAAAAGTATTAACACTATTATTGATTATATCCTTACAGTCTTTGGTGATTTACCTTTGACTTTGTGACTTTAGAGAGATTTTGAAAATTTCTATAATTTTTGTATTTTATGAGCTGAAACATACATTTATTAACTACTTACAGTATAAATTTATTTCTAAGTTTTTACCCTAACAATATCATACCATCTCTTTCACCACAGTTCAATAAAGCAATATTTATTAACATTTTCTTATATATATTTTTATATATATATATATATATATATATATTGAAAACTGTTACAAGATACATGAAATGTATCTTTAACCCACTGACTGTAGATGCTCTAAACACGAGTGGAATTTTTGCAAGCCGTACACTGTATACGGCACACTCACATTCAACTGCTGTGAATCAGCAGACAGTGGGTTAATATTAACATATCTTTAACTTCTGATCTATAATATTAATCTATCTCAAACATATCACAACTCTACAAGTGGCTATGCCACACTAGGAAAGAATAATAATATAATACTAACTCAACAAATGTACCATTAAAGATTAGTTAACAACTATACCAAGTTACAGTGATTCCAGACAAAATAAAAAGGAGGGGAATGGGGTGATAGGGCAAAGTGGCCAATAAATGGGTTTTGCTTAATTCAAGATCACTCACACTTATAGATACTGTGAATCCAACAACTAAACTTTTTTTCTTCAAAATATCTAACATACTGCAATATGAAAAACTGCCCCCCCAAAAAAAACACAGAAAAACATGTATCCTATAGTGCATAAGGCAACAGGTTTAGTGCCAAAAGAAAGTCGCTTGTGCTGCATCCATGTAGCAAGGACTTTCATGTTTCTTGTGCTACATGTAATAACAGTTATGGTTCTGGTGGAAGAAAAAATATTTAATAGTTAAATGACTCTTCTGCTGAAAACAGCAGCAACTTCCATATACACCCTTGTGTTTTATTCTACTTTGAGCAGAAGCTGTTGTATAAACTTATATTACCTGTACTGCATACACCCATGTCTAACACAATGCATATAACAGAAGCTTTTGTGATACACTGAGCTAAACTTTGTACAGACACTAACATGTCTTGTGTTCCTGTATTAAGTACATCAAGAATACCTAAGTAATATTTTGTGCTATGTCTTAAAATACACTATAAGCATGTTTCATTTTTCTGGAGAACTGTCCATTCTATGAGTAAAACATTAACCTATTGTATACTGACCTACATATTCCATGTCAGCACTCTGATGAATGATAGATCTTTTATTGCAAAATAAACAATACCATGTGTGTTAGCTATGTTAACAAAAAAATACAACACTTTTGGAATAAAATATTATTACAAAGCATAGGAAACTAGTTTATTTTCCAAAAGTTTTTTTTTTCATTAGTGTAAATCTTTACCTAATACACAAACTACCTGATATATTAGAAAACAATTACTTGTATTAGCATCTACTGTAGGTTATCTCATTTATACTAACAACATTAGTCTGTGCTGTAAATGTTCGATTCTCTACTTAAATCTTGTCTAGGCAATGGTCCAATTAATTAAAAGATACCATATACTATGACTAACAGTCTGATTTCTAAGTACCAGTTTAGCAAAGTTCTGACTCAAACTTACCATGCTAATTAGCTTAGTAGGTAAACTGATTTGCAAAAACTGTGTTATCCTTCCCAGTGAAAGGTCTGATTTTAGGACACCATATTAGCAAACCTGGTGAGTGATTTAAGTTTCACTTGGCAGATGCTTTGTTATGTACTTAATAAATTAGCCAAACTGATAGGTGGGTTGATTTTTATTTATTATAATAGCCTGTCTGTTTAATGGTCTGATGTATAGGTGTTCTGTCAACCTGTCTGTTTACTGGTCTGATGTATAGGTGTTCTGTCAACCTGTTTGTGAATGGTCTGATTTGCACTTAAAATATCAGGGGTGTCCTTTGGACTTCAATCATTACTTACTTTTTTATGGACTCTTTATCTTCCGTCTCTCATTTTACTAACTCTTCCTGGATTCAATACTTTTTTTACAATCACCCTGTAAGAAATAAAAATCATAAATCCTTATAACAATAACACTGAATAAGATGTTCTTTGTTAGCAGTTTCTGTATATATCACAACCATCTACTTTATTAATAAAATTGTTGTACAGTTATGATCAGTGTAAAGATACACTAAGAAGTAAACTGTTATTTTACTTCATTAACATGATAAAGATCCTTCAAACCACAATTTAACTTTGTAAGGCTTAAAGTACAGTTATGAGTTTCTTGCAACAACAGAAAGTTAAAGTAAACAATATATACAAGTAAAATTATTAGCAGTGATTGTTAATCTTTACTGATGATGTAATAAAACTTATGAAATTTGTCCTGAAATGATTATCTTCTCCTCTTTAACAGGGACAATACTAACTTGATAGCTTGTCACTTGTAATATTTTAGTATTACTATAAAATATGTTGAATTTGAAATAACAAATTTCTTGGGAAATTGAGATTTTTCCCAGCTTTCAGACATTTTTTGTGCATTTCAGAAACACTAAAATTGTTTCCTGGTTTCCCTGCACTTCAAATGCTTTATGTTTTTTAACAGTGAGGAAGAAACAAATGTAGACATTACTCTTTTAAGTTAAGTATTTTTTGAGCTTTAAGGAATGGAATATGTTAGAAAATTTTCTCAGTATAAATAGAAGTAAATAAAATACGGAGAGAAATAGAATGTCAATGTGTCATTATTTATTCTTTTATAAAAAATATTGCATTTCTAACTTTTAAACTGATAGTTGTATATAATAAGTAATAAATACAACTGTTTCAGGTATTTATTGCATCACTGAATTAAGTAAAAAAATTCCATGCTTTTTCTTTAAAAATCTCTAATCCTGAACATGTGTCAATGAGATTTGGGAAAGCAAATGCAGGAAAACAAACTAATAATGTAAATATAAAACTATTCCTGAATAGAATAGCATCACTTTCCTCATCCAAGTTTCACAAGTGACATACATAGTGAGAAAATTTACATAACTATTTCTCATTTTAAGATGCAGAAGAAAAAGGGGGAAAAAAGTAATATAATCAAGTATACACCTCTCTGTTGTCAAATGAAAAAAATCAGATTTTGTTAAATTAAAAAAAAACCATAATCTGTTTAAATAATTGCTAAGTTACTATACTGATAATTAAACAGAACTGGCTGGTGTAAAATAATATAGTGATATTTATTGTCTGAAAATAAATTTTTGAACGTCCATCATTATATACACAGCAAACATATTACTTTGATGTTATTCAGTAATGAGATCTTTGATTCTATTTAATCATCAGACCTTTGATGATCCTACTTAATCATCATATCTTCTATGGGACTAAAATTGGTTCAGATCCTTTTATCTTGCTGTCTTTATTTTATTTATGAAAATAGAAGTTTTATTAAAATAAATAATTAAAAAAACGGACTACTCACTGTCTGAAGAAAGACGGAGTATATTGGGAAATATAATATACAGTAAGTATTGGTTGTAAGCATAACCAGACCTCGTCCACTTTATTTGCTATTGCTACTCCCATCAAATATGCACAACGAGAAACTGCCATACGTTTATCCTGCGGTGAATGTTTCTGTCCAACAACCTATATAAAATATTTGATGATTAAACATTTCACCTTTGTTCTCAGAAAATGGGTTAGTGAAATTATACTTATAGAAGTGCTTATTCATAATGATAGTGTGGAAAGGCTTTCTTGGTGGTGAAAAATGTCTTATGAAAAAAACATACTTCTCCTTTCTTCCCAGTAAAGGCAATCTCCAGAAGTGGTGTAAAAACTGGTCCAGGACACACAATAGTTACACTGATGTTACTGTTGGACATCTCCGTTCTTAAACTTTCAAAATAACCCTATAACCAAAAATATGACATCATAAAACACTTTTCTTTAAGGGTTGTGTTGCGTATCTTAGCGTGTATACACACTAAAATAATACACAATACACACATAAAATTATTTCAAATATTTTGTAACATTATTATTATTTTATATTCTCAACAACAAACCACAAAGATATCACGATTTACATATTATACACCAATATTTGTTGCTTAAAAATCGGAGTTGTGGTGGTGGTGATATTATACTTCACCTTCAACAGTTACACAGTTTCAATAAACAGAACCTTATGATAACATGAAAATATCAAAGTGTCTCTTGTGACATATAAAAGTGATGGTAAAGGTAGTTGTAAACCAAATCAGAATGTAGCCAATAGTTTATGAAATGCTGCCTTTAATGGAACAACTGGTTGGCAGAGATTGTGGTAACACACACTAATCAATACTGCAAATAGGGGTATGTGCATAAGTACAAAATCTCTCTTTTATGGTGCAATATAATTCCAATTCCTTACAATTCCGTGTCATGCAATACAGAATAGTAATTTTTATTCAATAAATTTTTAATAACAGTGTAAACCATGATGGTATAACATAACTACATACAAAATTTATAGTTATTATAATATAACATGTGTGTGTGTATAATATTAATTTTATCAAGTTCATAGACTTTCGATTAGGCCTAGTCAGTTTTCATATCTTTAGCTTTAGAGTAGAAGACCTAAGAGTGAAGATCTGTTGTTGTTGTTATAACAAGTTAGTTGGATATAAATATATACATCTTCTACCTTCGCAGTAAATTTGTATGTAGTATTTTAGGCTCCTATATGTTCAATATCTACCATGGATGTACTGAATAACAACAGCTATTTAAGATATCAAGAAAAAACTACCAAAACTTAATTTTTTTTCTCTCAAGCTGACTTGTTGGTATACTTTCACTGGTGAATAAGTCCTACTTCCAAAAAGATTTTTCACACTGTGGTACTTATTTCCCCCTTAAAGTTGATGATCCAAAGGTAAATTAACGTTTGTATCTATCATTTAGCAAGTAAAAAGTTAAATATTCTATTATTTAATTTGTTATGTTTTATATACTACATAAAGTTTAAGAGTAGCCAAAATTTCATTACCTCAAACTTTAGAAAACATTTGCACTTTGCAAGTTTCAAAACAAGTATTTACCAACAGTTTTTTAGACCATCTTGAAAATCCCACTATTATAAAACTACACTTACATGTAAGGCATGTTTGGAAGCAGTATAGGAAGCTGAATTTGGAGCTCCTGGAATATAGAAGTAACATTTTAACAGCTGAATATTAATAGAATTCCATATATAGATATCATGAATAGTTAAAAATAATTCAATTCTCTATACTTATGTGAAAATTACTTTATGCATTGCCTCTGGCACCACATAAGTAAAAAAACAAATTTAAACAATTTTCACATATGAATACAATAAATTATGCAAATCATGTTTGCATTCAAAATTTGAAAGTGATTTACTAGGTTGATGATAGCAAAAATAGTCAAACCCAAGCATATACACAATATATTTCATAATATACATGTCACATTTATAAGTAAGTAGCCCTGTTGCCTGTTTCAATGTACAGCTATGATAAAATTCTCTTCTATAAGCTGTGTGACAACAAGAGTTGTCAGTATGAATTACCAAAAAAAAGAATAAACCAAGAAACATGGTCTAAAAAGAGTTTTACATATTTTCAAGTAGAATAGCATACTTTATCTTTCTAAATTTTCTGTATTTTACTTACAGTTAAACTTTGGACACATAAGACCTACTTTATCAAAATATGATTATTATTGATAGGATTAATAACAAAATAAAAATCTAAATATCTCTCAGTGTCTGCCTGAAAGATGTGTTGCCTTTCAAATCCTATTCCCATTTCCAGTTCTGTCAATTGAAGAAGCTTAATAAGCAATTGGAATAAATGATAAGCAATTATGAGAGAGTTGATATAATTTTTGTTATTGTACTGTTGATATGTTCTAACACTGAAATTTAATATTTGAAAAAAAATACAGATTGATCTGTGTACTGTTTCTAGTATATACTTAGTTTATTTACTGAAAAGTGTCTCTATAAAATGATTCAAACAACTTATACACTTAAAATTACTTCTTTAATGTTTATATGTTAAAGTAAAAAGTGGAGATATGTGTGGCTGGAATGGTATCTAGTTTAATATATTTAAGCTACGAGGAGAGACTGAAAATTTTACCTTGTTTTCTATGTAGAGCAGAAGATGACTTAATTCAAATATTAAATTGTAAAGGGTTTGGACAATTTTCATATCGGAAGTTTTTTTTGTCAGTGGAGAAAATTAGTGACAAAAAAAAGTTTTTGAAGCTAACATTCAGACTTTTTCTTTAACAAAATTATTTTGTCATTAAATTATAAGACACTCACAGTTGAAAATAGGGATCACGTTCAGCAACACCATGATTTAAACTTTGGAACCTTTGATCTATGGCCCAGTACACTAACCACTAGTGCATGTCCAGCCCTTTACTGTTTCAGTTGGATTAACAATGAGGTGTCTGCTGTTAAAATTAATTACTTTGAACTTTTGTTAGATAGATATATAGATGTGGAGGATACATTATTTAATTTTTGATGTTTTGGTTGTTTGTCCTAGTGAGTCAAGTGCAACCTTGATAGGATGTATGACTTTCTATCACTGCTTTCTATACATTATAAATTAGACAAAATTCTTAAGTCATCTTTGTTTAAAAATGTCTTTAACTATTTATTATTCACATATTGAAAAAAACAAACCAAATTTGCCAGCACCACTGCTAGTAATTACAAAATGACCAGCTCCCTGTTCTATAAAATGTCTCAAGACAATCCTACTTAGAGACACACTGGAAAGTACATTGAGTTCAAACATTTGTCGGTCAACTTCCAGTTCAATGTCAACAAACATAGCTCTTTGTGTACGTCCTGCATTGTTCACTAGAATGTCAATCTGAAAACCAAAATAGGAGAAATTTTCAATCATAAGAAAATAATGTACGTTATGTGTTTTTTATGTAATAAAAATCACTAAAATTTTTCTGTGATATTAATAATACAAACTGTTGCTGAAAAGAAATAACAAAATGCTAAGTACTAATTAAAAATCTTAAACTTAAGTTATATTAATATTTGTCTTCTCATAAGTACTTTACTTAATTTGTAATGACTTTATGCATAGATAATTGCAGCACGCAAAGTACAGTAACCAGAAGCCAACTTTGTTACTACAACAAAATGATCAATATAGCTTTAGTATACACCAAAAAGTAGTAATTTTGTTTCCAGTTGTAAAGTTTCAACTGAATCTATTTTAAGATATGATTATACACACTCAAATCCTAATACTGAACATAGCTACTTCACATTCATACAATATTTTCAGTAACTTTTCATTGAGAGCAGGAAGAAATTTTATTTCATTGAAAGTACTTTTACAATTGTTTACTTTCTTACTGATGCAGTACGAAAAGAGCCTACCTTATTCGTTGTTCATGAAAAAAATAAACCACAACTTAAAAAGGTTAACATACTGTATGTACACATTATTGTATAAATACATAAACGCTAATGAACAACTATATATAATGAAAAATGATGTAAATAATCTAATAAAAATGGTCTTTCTTACCTTACCAAAATGATTAATAACTTTCTGAACACACTCAGAGTGCAGAGAAAAATCAGTTATATCAAATGGAACAAGAAGAATGTCTTTGTCGTCAAGTTTTCCACTCACTGTTTTCATTTGAAAAACAAAAAAATAAGAACACACACACACATATTAGAATGAATTAAGCCACTATACAAAGAATGTTTTCAAATTACTTACACTGCAGTTAAGATATGAAATATAAAGATGTTTAATATCAAAATCCTTATTTGAGCATTTGAATATTTTATCATGATAATACAAAATCTAAACCATAGGAAAGTTTAACAAATTAACAAAAACTTATGAATATGTATTCTATACTTGTAAGCATCATAAAATTGTAAGCACCATTTTTTTTACTTCTTTTTTATAAATCATTAATATACTTCACTCAAAGAGCATCAAATGCATGATATATTACATTTTTTTGCATTTTTCAGTGTCAAAAGTGAAATATAAAATAAATATTAGAATATGGTACTGTATTAAATTGTTTTGGTCAAGTATTGGTACTTAAAGGGTCAATATGCCAACAGTTAGAAAGCAAAACAACATTGTTATCAGGCCAGATGCAGCCCCTAGTTGCCCATCATCGATCTAGGATATAATACAAAGCAATGATTCAAAAGGTTCAGCAGATGTCACATGATCTAACGACTAATAAAGAGAAAAGGTTTTATAAATTAGGAGTTTAAGGAATATAAAAATAAATTGCTTGTCACTTAAAGTTAACAAAGTAAAATATAGAGACATAACAAATTCATTAAAATTTGGATTTATTTGTATCTAAATTTAGGAATCAAAATACAAAATAAAATGTGATTACATCAAAAAACTAAACTGAATAAGTAAGCATGTATCTGCATATGATATAAATTCAGTAATCATTTACACATCAAAACAAACTGGATTTTAACCAAAAACATAGACTGAGAATGAAGAAAGAAATCTTGTTGCTGCTATTGCAAACACTAATAGGACTGAAGCCAACATAAAAAAATATGAAGTTATTAATTTTGAGCTCAATAAGCGACTCAGAGTAACTCTAGAGCTTCAGTAGTGATTCACTGACTTGTGGATAGTGACTATTAGTGATATAAACGGTGGAATAAAAAAACAAATAGAGAGCACTATAGAGAAAAATAAATAAACTGTTCTGGTACACTGATCCCTATTAACAATATTTTTAGGTGTTAATCTGTCAAGTATCTGATAAGAAATATAAATGTTAAGATTAAAAAACATGAGAAAATTTGCATAGAAAGTTTTTGGTTGACATTTAGAACTTCATCTGAGACCTTCAGGTTGGAGTGTTACAAAAGTTAGCATTTCTAATGGGATGATTGAGGAGTGGTCCTGCTGGAGAGTTATTCTGTTATGGACTATAATTTTGAGCTCTGTAATATAGTTCTAGCTAGGAGACAAAAACCCTCAACCTCCAAACTGCAAAAGGCAGTTTCTTAAATTCAGTAAGAAACCCCCAAAACTATCAAAAGTGTAAAACTAATATTATCAATATTCTTTACATTCTCTACTATGCTAAAAAGACAAGAAATTCACTCAGAACTTCCAGATTTGTTGTGTTCTTTAATGCTGGACCTACATTTAAGAACATACTGATGAAGGTGAACCAACCATCATTCATTGTATGAAAGAAACAGCTTAGAAGGTATTCTGAACACTTCTGAACTAGAGAAACAGAGTAACATTTCAGTACACTAAAATGCCCTAATATTTGTACAAATGGAAAAATATGTTAATACCAAAATTTCTTACAAAAATGGAGATACCACAAAGTGGAATAAATTTCAAGTTTAAACACAGCCAAATAGTGGTAAATCTACAAAATCAAATGTTAATCACAGTTTAAATTTCAGTTTTTAATGAAGAATAAAATACAGAAGTTAAGAACTTGTGAAACATTTTCCTTCACAAAACCTCAACATACCAAAAACAACGCTCCCAATACTGTGCTACTGAACCAAAAATGTATTCATAAAAGCAGAACTCTCCAGAAGGACTGTTTCCATCACCTACTTATAATAAACCCTACAGGCTTAAAACACAGATATTAAATCACTGTTCAAAACTGTCTACCGATGTTCCCTATAGAAAAAAGTTTGTTTATGTTTTATTATTTTGCAATACTTTCTCACTGTTCTATAGAATGGTGTTTACTATTCTTAGTCATAAAAATAAGAATAATGAGAAAAACATAACATAATATACAAAAAAATATGTATTATTTTTTACTCAAACATAAGATTAAGCAAATTTCAAATTAAACAACACATTCTTGATGATCTTATAAATAGTCAGAGGTTAATGGATAACATTTTATTGCCAAAGATTTTTTTTTCTGAAACTGTAAAAGTAAATTTCTCTTATACATACCTATTATGAAAATATTAAGTAAAACTTACAAACACATTGTTTTTTAACCTTTTCTAGTCTTTCCACATTTCTTCCAGAGAGAGCTAGTTTTGCACCAACTGCTGCTAGTTCATATGAAAGAAATTCTCCAATGCCACTGGAAGCTCCAGTGATCCATATAACATTGTTCTTCAAAGCAGCTATAAATTCAAGGTTAAGAATACAGGTAAAATTTAGTTATAACTTCAT